TGTTCTTCCGCTTACTCTTCTTTAGATCCTTGTCTTCTTCCTCGTCTTCAGAACATGTTCTGCTACTGTCCTCGTTAGAATCGTCCGACTGTTCATCCTGCGAACTCACCTTCGAACCATCGTCGTCACTATCACTTTCATCCTCCTCTTCTTCCTTTGCTGGCTTCTTTACAACAGGTACTGACTTAACCTTAGTTGTCTTCTTCTTCATTCCCTCCGTGGATGTAGACGGCTTTGGATCGACTATCGGTGTGGAGCTAACGCGTAGTTTTCCTCCTGATGACTTCGTTCCTTTGGAACTTTCACGCTTCTTCTTTTTCTCCAGTTCCATCTGCGCTTTAGCCAATGCCAACTTTTGCTCCATCTTCCTCTTCAGACGCTCTTTCTGCTTCTTCACCGCTTCCATTGCTTTCACAATCTCCTTTTCGTCGTCCGGGTTAGATTTTGCACTGACCTTCGCTTCCTTCGCTTTGGATTGGCCGTCAACACTATCGTCAACGGGAATAACATCGTCATCGTCAACATCATCTTCCGAATCACTATCATCCGGCTCTTTTTCACAGCACGATGAACATCTCCAGTTCTCGTCGTATTCCACGGCCGATCCAACTCCGGCACAACTGAAGTGGAACCATTTCGTGCAGCCTTCGCAGTACACCATATGATCGTCCTCATGATCCGGACGTGTACAAATCGCGCAGTTGTACGCCGTCTCATCCGGATTGAGGTTAGATCCATCCCCTTTAGATCTATTCATTTTTGAGGATGTTCGGATCACTAATGAAAACTCTTTTTTTGCAGCAGCGTTGATTTACAGCAGCTCAAAACTGTAAGATTAGTTTGTATTCAGTTAATTGTTAATTTTTGGTTTAATCTACAAAACTCACATGAATAGTTTTCACTTCACCGTGTTTTCTCCTTTTGTGTCTGCTAGTGCCGTGTTATTTGCCTGACTACAACAATAATTATGAATTTCACATTTTTAATCTAATTGTTCCATACAAACTTACTTCTTTAATACCGCAATTCACAAACGATTCCACTTAACTAACTAATTATGCCCTCTACTGATCAATTTCACCATAAATTCACTAAATCGCTTCATTCAACTACAATCGACTATTTCCATCCACTAATGTTTACTTATGTTGCTATGTTTACGTTTTTGACCGTTTGATTCGGGTCGGCTATCCGCACTCAGGTACGCCCGACGACTGCGCGTGTGTTGGTAGCTGCGCGTTCGGTGATGACGTCACCGGTGCCTCAACACTGCTTCTTGACGCCAAACTCGGTCTACGGATTCTAAACTCGGCCTAACGCATTGAAACGCCAATGAATTCACTTCGGCCTATCTAATGAAGATACAAATTGATTCGATCGGAGCGCTTTTTTTGTTTTTGGGAATAATGGGTGTAAACCTTCATATCACGCGTTCTCATTGACTTCGTTCCGTACCTTATTAAATAAAGTATCGTACCAAACGCATAATTGACTTTTTAACTCTGAAATCATGGATTTATTTGAAGTTTTCTACTCTATAGGCCCAAAATGGGCGATTAGCCCGAAGTAGTTCTCTACCCTACCTTTTTTATTATATCTTAGTTCGAATGCTTCATTTTGAAGTAAGTTTCCTAGCTGATTTTTAAATTACATAGGGTATATGCTCCAACTATGCTCGGACGCTTCCACTATGTCGCACCACAAAAATATGAGTATGAGTATGTCACAATAGAAGCACGCCACAGTGGAAATCCCGAGTCATAGTTCAAACACTTATCCCAAATCAAAATGAAGCACATATAAGATTAGTTACAACCTACCATGTACCAAAATGGTGTTTAGCATTGTTCCCTGAGTAATACCTCAATGAAAACAACAATGAAAGCTTGTCACGCGAATAGAAGGAGCACTGTTGGGCACTTTCTGAAATATTTCAACAGTACAATTGCCTTGCAAACCCAAATAAATCTATCTGCGTAAAAATAAATAAAATAAGAGTGATTTGCGGCAAAACCAGCTAGTATCGCACCCAACGTCAGTGCCTATACGTAAGCGTACTACAACGCGGCTCTCAAATAAAGGAGTAACAATTGTGATACTATCACTGCTGGACTAGATCTTTGGTTTTGTCATGCAGTGGTTCATCAGAGAGGGGAAGCTTAGTAATCCCCATCGCCTGCCCATGACGCCATTCTATCGCTGCATGAGCCAGCAACGCCGACCATAAACCTACCGTCTCCAACACTCCACTATAAAGCTTAAAATTAAGCCCGCCCACCAACAACAAGGTGCAAAAACTAGCTAAGGGGAAGGAAAAAATAATGCATTTTCATTTAAAATGCAAATTTTCTTGAAAATTACCTTTGCGTCTCTGGCCTATTTTACTGCCCTAAATGTTGTTGTTAATTTGGCTCTAGTTTTCTCAATTTTTTACCAATTCAAACCAAACACCCTGCACATAATCGAGAAATTACCAGAGTTTCATAAGTCACACTTGTTGGTCACGTCGCAGATGTGTATATACATAGATATTCCTTGGGTTCTATCCAATGGTGAGACATTTTCATTATTTTTTTTGACGTAGAACTACGTCTTTGTCGACTATTTATACTGGGCTGCAAATCAAAAAATATGTGTGGTGAAGGAGTGTTAGGTTTTGAACGTTTGTAACATTGTCATTTATAGATGAAATTAAAATCCAAATACGCCAATCGATAGGATACTACATTACAAACCTGTTGAAATAAATATTTTTCCATTTTTTTTTGTAATTAAACTTTTGAAAATGTACATATGATAATTTTATCACTGATTTCATGAAATAAGCCTTTTTACCAAACCCAGCCATTATAAACGAATACCACTTGGTTGCACATCATTCTGCATGAACCTGAAAAGATATAAATCAGCGCTGCTCTCATGCCTCTGCTCATTACCGCTTCGGACGGCGTGGCACTAGGTCCTGCATCAAGCAGGACTAGGTCAGCGGCTAAAGGTGGATCACGGCGTGTCCACCACAATGAGGAATGAGACTTGAAAAAACGTGCATGTATAATAGTCAAAAATGCATGAAAAACATCAATTTTGTGTGGTTCTACGTCATACCCTCATACCGTCATAACCCTTTAACTTTTTCTAATATGAACCGAATCGTATATATGTGGCTTTGTGGATCATGCACGACTTATTACTATGTATACCGAAAATTAGAGGTTTTCCAAATCGTCTAGAACATCAGTTGATTTGTTCTACTAGATCAACCAAGACTGCAATAATGTCTGTAGTATCGGAAAATGTCCAATCAGATTCAAAGAGTCTATGTGGATCATGCATGATCTATTTCCGAGTAATCCAGATGTTCAAGGTTCTTCAAATCGTCCTGGAGTTCAGATAATTAGATCTACTACATCAACCGAGATTGGGACAATGTATTTAGTATCGAAATATTTCCAGACAGATGCACAGTGTCTATGTGGATCATGCATGAACTATTGCCATGTATACCAGATGTTTCAAGTTCTCCAAATCGTTCTGGAGTTCAAATGATTTATTCTACTAGATCAACCATGACTGGGATAAAGTCTGTAGTATCGAAGTATGCCCAAACAGATTCATAGTGCCTATATAGATAATGTTTAATTATTTCCACGTATACCAGATTATCTAGGTTCTCCAAATCGTCGTGCAGTTCAGATGATTTGTTTTACTAGATCAACAAAGACTAGAATCATATCTGTAGTACTGAATTATCGATTTGGAAATCCTAGAGCATTTGGCATACACGGAAATAGGTTGGCATGATCCACATAGACACTGTAAATTTGTTTGGGCATTTTTCGATACTACAGATATTGAATTAGTCTTGGATGATCTAGTAGAAAAATAATCTGATCTCCAGAATGATTTCAGAACCTATAACATCTTGTATACGTAGCAATAGTTTGGGTATAATCCACATAGACACTTTGAATCTGTTTGGACATATTTCGATAATACAGACGATATTGGATTCTTGGTTTATATAATAGAACAAATCAACTGAACTCCAGAACGATTTGAAGAACCTAGAATATCCGGTATACATGACAATTACTGGCATATATACGATTCGGTTATGATTTGACAACGAAAAATGCTATGATCACATTGAAAAAAAAAGGAAAATGTCTCACATTAGACAGACCTCAGGTAATTCCCGTGTAAATCCGGTGTGACTTATGGATTTGAGATCATTTCTCGATTATTTGCAGGGTGTTTGGTTTGAATCGGTAAAAAATTGAGAGCCAAATGAACAACAAAATAATCCGTCCCGGAAAGGTTACAATGAATTCCACAATTTTTGTGAAAGCACATTTTCGCTACATTATTTTATGTTTCCGCGATTTTCGCAACTGAAAGTTTCTAATCCGCGACAAATCCGCGAAAATCGCGAAATCCGCGCCTGTTGTAACAGCCCTGCAAATGGTTTAAGGATCCCATAACGCCTAAATGGTTTAAGGATCCCATAATGTTGTTCTCAAGAACTAAGTATTAATTGAATAAACAAGTGCGCGGTTCAATTCCATTTCCTCACTCTGCACTCAATTTTCAATCTCGATTTTTTTTAAACAAACTATTTACTAAGTTGATTTAAGATCACGAATTGGTTGATTTTTGCAACACATGTCGTTAGTAGAAAAAAATCGTAACCTTTATTTTACCGAACCTGGTCACGATTTTTTTTTTCTGTATTCTTTTTTAAAATCGATATTGCTTATAATCGCAATGCTGTCCAGTAGTGGTGAGATTGAAACTGATAGCTTACATTAATCCATTAGCCCGAACAATTGAGACATATAGAAAATATGTTCAAAGTCTCGTTAATTGACCATTTTAAGGCATTAAATTTTAGAGATATATAATATAGAAACTTCCGTAACCTCTGGAATAAAGAAACATTTCCATAACTCTGTGACCTAGATAACTTTCTAGATCACAGTCTATGAAAAAAAAAACAATTAATCTGGAATAAAAAAAGCTGTTTCATGTTTCAAAGCTAAAGCGTATTTCTTAGATCAGAAATTAATTAGAAGTGTACAACACCAATTTACAATCACTAGAACACGCTTTGTACTGTAAATTTTTACTTAAAATTATCCATTAACAACAAACTAATTACAGAAAAATCTGTATAACAACAAAACTTAACTATCATAAACTGCTAAAGAACACCTAAGCATATAAAACAATACATTGATTTGCCCCATGTAATATGCTGTCAGCACTATCCTAGTTGATATCTGCTGCTAGTCTGCCATACGAAAGCTGCTTCCATCCCTGGAAAATATCAAAAATAACAATTAGGTAGTTATTATTATCATTATCATATAAAAGGCGTTTATGGACAAGTTTGAGCCTCCCAGTTAGCAAAGGTGCAACTATTATGCAAAAAAAAACATACTGAGGTCATTTCCGGTTCTGTCAAAGAAATTATCGGGATGGAAAGATTCTCGATTTTCCTGGACATATGAGATAGGTATGCTTGCCACATCATATAATAACGAACACAGAAATGATGCAGGTATCCTACACAGCAAAAAAAGTTGTTGAATATTACATCGAAACTGCTGCAACCAGGTCAATTCATCGGTTGTGTAATATCACATTGTACGATATACATCGATTTTGCGAACAAAATTACATCCATTGATGTAATATTGTATCTGCTTTTTGCTATTACATCATTATTTCATATATCAGCTTAAATTACGTTGATCGATATTACATTTTTTTTGCTGTGTACACCGAAAAAAGTTTTCATATAGTTTCCATTATGAACGCACATGATATTTTTTCCAAAATTAATGATTCTTATCTGAAATTCACATAACATTCATATGCTCACATGAATTCTATGTGATAAATCACATAAATTTCATTGAACACATAAGGTTCATGTGATTTTGTAGTGAGATTCCCAATTATGAGATCACATGAAAGTTATGTGAAATTCTAATGGATATTTTCCATTGGAAATGTGATTTATTTTTTGAGTGTAGGAGACATAGTCGCTATATTCATAGTCTGGCGGATAGAATCTCGGGAACCAATTGAGCTGTCAAATAGCGGAACCAATCGAGCAAATCACGACCAACAACAGAAAAGAGCACATCAGCTATGCTGCCGCTATTCGCATAACAGTCCCATGCCCTATGGATTTCCTATCTACATAGGACTGTTATGCGAATAGCGGCAGTATGGCGATCAAAACTTCGGAAACCCTTTTCTCGTGACTCAAGGTTCGCCTATGCAAACTAACACCATCTTTGGGTTGGGGAAAGTTGACCCTATCCGATGTTGCTGGTTATTTGCGATCGATTGGCGAGGAAAGAATAATCAACGTTTTGTTTATAAAAGTTGATAGTACCTTTTCAATAGTCCAACAAATATATTGAAATGGTTCCGCTTTTTGATTTTTTTTTCCTCTGTTCGGGACATAAAACCACTGCGACCAGTAATTTGATCTATTGTAGTATATCCCGTGTCCTTAGTTTAGTGCATGTCGTATTACTCCATCACTATTGAGAAATGATGAAGTATTCGGTTTTGATACAGTTGTCATTCTTGCCTTTATCGCAAGGAATCGATTCTAATTGAAAGGTCCCGCTATTTATACCCTTCGGAGTGTTGAAACACCCTCCAAAGGCGCGCCCCTTTGTCAGTCAAAATTGGATTCCTTAGCAAAAAAAACAAGACATGACACCGATAATGACCATGCATCAGAACCCTAGTCTTAACCACTTCAAACTAGGAAACAACGAATAGAAGATTAGGAATCACATAGGTGAAGACTAACTAACTCATTTTTTCCTTGTTTCAAGATCATCCTCGGTCCACGCAACCCGAGGACTTATCACTATCAACAAGGCATAAAAAGTAACAAGGACTAAGATGTGTTCCTTTGATTACTGTAAAATCCTGTTCCCCTAGTTTGAAGTAGTCAAGACTAGGAATCGGTGGTAGATCTTACTAAAGAGCCTGAATTTATAAAGAGACGACATGTCAAAATTGGAATAATCGATTGTCTGTCAAAGTCATAGGAAAAGTCATTCCAATCGAGCAGAAGACCTGTCAAATGGATAAGATGTCGCCTCTTTATAAATTCAGGCTCTTTAGATCTTACATCTCGTAACGTACCACGAAAAGGTGATCTACCCACGTTACGGGGCTCCGCTTTTTGATAGATCGTAATTCTATCCGCCAGACTATAAATATAGCGACTATAAGGAGACCTACTGCCCTCATGATGTTTTGGGTTATGTCAAAAAAATGTAAATATTATTGACCTGTGCACCGAAAACTAGACAAAACGTGGAATAAGGGGGATAAAAATCGAATGGCCAAAAAATCGAATTATTCAAAAAGGGCCAACTCACCAAACGTCGAATGATTAGAAGAGAGACAAGAGGTTAAATGAACGAACTGTCAATTGATTAGTTAGAAGGAGGATAAATATCAAAACAATAGGATTTTTTGATTAGTTAGATAACAAAATAGTCCGCAAAAAATGAGACGATAGGGACAGATTTTGAACTTAAGTCAAAAATTTTATTGCAGCTTCTATGGTCCTATATGCCAGTTTGCCAGTCAAAGGACCAGCAACCCGCCACCTCTAGCATGATGTTGTTGAATAATGTGTTATACAATAAAATAATATGCTTATGTTGTACCCACCTCAAGACTATTGTGAACGTATATGTAAATCAAATTATCCACCGTAGATATCTGTAGCGCCGGGAACCCTGTAGAGAAATAACTACCATTAAAAATCTCCAGTAATGCTTCCAAGATAAATTTACCTTGTAATCTGAATGCTCTTAATGAAGCCACGGTTGAGTCGAAAATGATCTTTTGATATAATGTTGAGTATGAATGGTCCATTGCAAATATGTCCAAAATGTTGGAACTTTTCTCCGAAATCGCTATCATAATCATTTCCTCGACATTTACGGCCACAACAGCATTATAGCTACCACTGAACGTTTTGAAGTTTATGAACCGCATCGCAATTGGATCGTAATAGTACAGTTTGAGCTTAGGAATCAGCGTATGCAATTGAAGTTGTAGAGAATCGGATACGGCCAGTAAGAGTGACGTATCGTTAGCGGAAACCAAATAAAATTCGGCACCGAATGTATTTAGTGGAAGTTCTTGCAGAACACTAAGCTCTTTATTCTTGTGCACAAGTATAACTAGAACAGATTTTCCTTTTATCTCCACCAATGATACAATCAAAATTTCGTTCTCCTCGATGTACGGCAATTCTTTCCATTCCGATCTTATCAAAACACCATCTATCAAAGTATTAGCGAAAAATTGGTCGCCACGTGATGACTTTTGGTGAACAGTAACGTTGATACGATTCACACCGTTTATACAGGTATTATCCAAATTAATTGTTCTGGACGCATCAGATTTTTCACTGTATTGTCGACTTGCGGTGCTTTGCACCATAATAATCCCATCATCTAAAGGAACGTTTTCTATGTATAACATGTGCGATTCCGTTGCACTATTAGCAACATACGCATCACTTGAAACGGATAGTTGCTCTCTGATTACTGGAATTAGTGGCAATAGATCTTCTACTGAGGAAAGTCGGAGCTTCATCATTTTCTGCACTGATATACCATTTAGCGTATATTCAATGGACAATCCATTTTGCAAAGTACCTTCGGCGGTAAATATCAACTTTTTGAAAAACAGCTCAGCGGCATGCAGCATAAAGCTCGACTTGTATGCATCGAGCAAGTTGAAATCATTGCATGTCATTATAGACGTAGGTCCAAGTAGCTGAATGGTTCCTTTTAAACGTTTGGGTTCAACCATGACCTGGTGCTCATTCGACGATCTAGAGACAATCTCATTCACTGGAATTCCATTGATTACGTGAACTGTATTTTGTTTATTTGATAGCACCAAGTTTGAGAAAGTAACATATCCAGTAACTTGTTGGGACTTTTCCTAAAAATATTATAACATAAAAGAGAAAATAATGGTTAAGCAATTTTTTATATGGTGATTTTCAGCTGTAAGATATTTCATCTTGCATATTCCTAGGCAGCACCAGGTTATTAGATGATAGTTTATTAGGCGAAAAGAACATATCAAGAAGACTGGCAACTTTAGCAGAATCAAAAGCATAAATACAGTGGCGCTGCGGGGGGATGATCGAACGGACGAACGTAAAACTATGAACACCTGAATATCGCAGAAGTAAAGAAATAAGACAGCAGGAGGAATGACTTCATCTGTAGGGTCAGGTAGGGCAAGAGTGCCACCCCCAATAATTTTGAAAATACATATATTTTCCAGTGGCGTCGCCGTAACCTCAATCTACCTGTTCAACAACTCTCAACACGTAACCAAACAAAACAATATTGGATCAAATGGATACAAATCAGTGAAACTAGAATACCCTGTGCCTTTTGAAACTGATATGAATGTAAACATGACCCTAAATAACGTTTTCAAAGTTGTTGAACAGGCAGGCATAGAAAATCATTTGCATTCATTTTGTGCATTCATTTACATTCATTTGCCCCTAACTATTTTCATCAACAGAATTTCGCAAAATGGTTTAAGGAATTTTTGTAGGTTTTGTTATTAGCTACAATTTTTGTTAAAAACTCAAATCCGTATCTCTTATGCATGACGAACCAGAGCAAACAGAATCCACTACTGTTTTTCAGTGAATGTATTTTACATTCACTGAAAAACAGTAACGAGTTCTGCCCGCTCTAATTCGTTATGCATAAGAGATACAGATTTTAGTTCTTAACAAAAGTTGTAGCTAATAATAAAACCTACAAAAGCTTAAGACATTGCTTTGCGGAATGCTGTTGATGAAAAAAGTTAGAGACAAATGAATGTAAATGAATACATGAAATTAATGTAAATGATTTTCCATGCCTGTGAACAGGTAAAAAGTGAGGTAACGCGACGCCACTGATATTTTCAATGCTATACCTCACCCATGAAACTATGGAGTACGTACTACGAAAGGCCGAATCACAAAAGGCCGAAAAAAAAACTCGGGAAAGCGACAAAGTTCAGAGTTTTTTCGGCCTTTTGTTAATTTGTTTTGAATAAATTAAATTACATTATTAAAGTAAAGTTTCAATAAATCTTCGAAATAAAATGTAATTGAAGCTACTTAATAGCCATTTGATTTCCGTAATGAAAATTAAAAAATAAACTTAAAATTTGGTAGCTTTATTTTTATGTTTGTTTGAGTGTTTAACGACGATTTAATGACAACCCTAATAAACAAATTCCATAAACGAACAGTATCCCGGATGGGTAAACTATCCTACAAATGGTTTGGATGATACCCCGAACACGTCGTTAAGCTCTCTTTTATGATTAGAAAGGCTTCAGAGGCTGAATGAGAGAGAAAGTGATAGCTTTATTTATTTAACGTCGATAAGGTGGCTTCGCAATGATGAAATTCAATATGGGAGGTATTCTCAAATCGAAAATTTTCGTTAGCAGCGATATTGCTGTTGGTGCGTTTTGCTGAACGTTCTAGTTACACACATTCGACTGCTTGCGCAACTCGCCACCTAATCAGAATGTTGAGTAGGGTAGATGGGGCAATATGGTCCCCCTAAGAAGAACACATCATAACACATGAAAAACATTCATAAATGTATGATAGATGTGATCATGCTCATGCATTGGAATATGTTTGATAATATACAACGTTCAAAATATGGACAAAATATAATAGACTCAATAAATTATTATGTTTGAAAATTTTTAGTTTTTGCTCCGATCAACAACCATACGGGGCAATATGAGCACCCTAGTAAAAGTTAACGTTTTGACAGGTTTTCACTAGAAAATAACATTCAGGAATCATGTGAAATAGAAACATAAGTTCTTTTAGCAACAGTTACGTGTATTGCTCGCTGTAGAACCAGCGGATCAGTAAAATGTAATATAGTGAATGCAATGTTTGTTTTCTTGACTGCATATCTTATAATATTCCAGAGATTTTGGGCTAATGTTACATTTCCATTATTATCTTAGACATGTAATTGAATTTTGATAGGTTTACATGGAGAGGCATTTTTTTTTGTAGTGATCACAGTGTCAGCACTTGCCTAAACTCTACACTGGACCCCTTTTATTGATAAATTTTGCTTCTATGAGCCTCTATTTTAAATCAACACACAGACGTTCCTAGACTATGGTCCCCGTTTGGTCACTGTTGTTTTTGTCTTGATCCAAATAGTTTTGATAATATAATTGCGCATTCTTGTTTTTTTAAACGGTTGATTTTTGTCCCAGTCTTGTCTTCTGTCACTTATTTTGTTTTTTTTTTTTAACTCTTTATTTGTTTCAAATTCAAAATAAATTACATTTCATTTTAACCTAGGTGCTCCAGTTACTGCAGTAACGTACCAGCCTTAATTGTTATGATATATATCTAAGTGTTTTTACATTGTTCATGTCTTGGCAATTCAGTATTTTAAACAGGTTTTTTAACCTGCATGTCAGTATAACAATTGATAGCTTAAAACTAAAAACTAAAACTAAATCTTATCTAAGTATAAAGGGAATTAATCGTTGCAATTGAGGATTGCAACGATTTTTGCCTGAAATTATTAATTATTTTGTTGGACATTTGTTCTAAAGTCTCAACATTCGAAATTCTATGTACCTCGGTAGTACTGTACCAGGAAGGCAACTTCAAAATCATTTTCAGAACTTTGTTCTGAATCATTTGAAGTGCTTTTTTCCTGGTAGTGCAACAACAAGACCATATTGGCACAGCGTAAAGCATGGCCGGTCTAAAAACTTGTTTAAATATTAGAAGTTTATTCGTCAGGCAAAGTTTGGATTTCCTGTTTATAAGAGGATACAAACATTTAATATATTTGTTACATTTAGCTTGAATGCCCTCAATGTGATCTTTAAAAGTTAATTTTTGGTCAAGTATTAATCCAAGATATTTCACTTGGTATTTCACAGGAAATTGGAACTCCGTTCATAGTGACTATGTGACTACTACTAGGTTTCAAAAAGTAAGCTCTAGGCTTATGTGGAAATATTATAAGTTGAGTTTTGGAAGCGTTGGGAGAAATCTTCCATTTTTGTAAATAAGAAGAGAAAATATCTAAACTTTTCTGCAGTCTGCTGCAAATAACACGAAGACTTCTTCCTTTAGCGGAAATGCCTGTGTCATCAGCGAACAAAGATTTGTCACTTATTTTGTCATTTTGTCTTGTGTATTGTGTCAACTTGTGTCTATTGTCCTTCCCCATCTGTTTTTTAACTCGTTCTGTTACTCTGTTCATTGATATATAAAATAGTAATATCAGAGTTGGTTGGAAATGCTAACATGAAGCTTTAGTGTGATGATTTATTAGCTAGAGAATGATCTTTAGAAGAGGGTAGATGGATAGTTCCGTTAGAGTACGGCAGTATGAAAATTGAATAGAAGTAGTAATATCAATTATACGATAATATGGTCGCATCAGCTCCTGCAAACAATGCATCCAATCGTCGATCCGGCGCAACTGGTAGCTCGCAAAAGCCTACCAACACCACTAGCAGGTAGAGGAAAATTTCCCTATCTGATGGTAGTGCTAGCATGCGTGGGCGAGCCACCAGCCACGCCAAATCGACGAGCCACCAGCCACGCCACGTTCCTCTGAAAAAGTTATCGAGATTTCTACTAATTAATGACTTATTGACAATTACCTCTCATGATCCTTGGCTCCACTATGATTTTAAGTTACCACTTTTTGATTATTTATCAAATACCTCTCCGAGTATATAACGCCCCGATGCCTTGTTGGTTTCTGGTCTCATTTGGATTGGTCCTGAATTTGTTTGATATCCTGTTCGAAGTGTTTTTATTCCTTATCCTTAGTCCATTGAGTTAGGTTATTTCTTTGAATTCCAGCTTGTTTTATGATTCGCCATTCATAAAGATAATGGGTTAAAAGGGAGCAAATCATACATAAAGGTAGATTAGTATTAGTTGTACTTGATCCAAACAATAGAAAGAAGCATAGATAAATTAGTAGGAAAATAAAACTAATATATAACTAAAAGTGCAATGGATAAGTGTATAGTTCCGGGATCATTTTAGTGTTAAGAGTTATGTCAGTTTTGATCCGTATTCAGCCCTGCCGCCCCCTCCAGCACTATTTGCAGCAATTGTTATAAGATTATGCGACACTGCTACTACTACTATGTTAGATGAATGACTTGTCAATTTTCGCTAGAATAGAATACTGTTTTCTAACGCAACGCAATGTTTCAATGAAGGTGTCTTTCAATAAATAACTCAATCAATTTAATTTTTGAAAATTTGCTCAAAAGGGTTTAGTTGACACATCATACCTTACCGAAAACTAAAGCAGAACAATCCTAATTCTTATTTCAAACCTATCAACATATTTAACACACCTTTCCTAAAACTTCACTTATTCGTGAGCACCTGATTGAAGATATGATTGCTATTGACATTGCCTGTAATTACCAAATATACTAAATAGAAAGATTTATTATACAACTCTAAAGGCTAGTTGCCTCCCTAAGCGGACTCCCCGCGTCCTATCTCATATTATGTCAATTAACTTTCTGAATTCTCTAATTGAAGTTCATTTGATGATTATTTAGTCTTATTTAAAAAATAACTGAAATCTCTACCTACCTACACAATCATAACCCATGCTTTTAAACTAAAATTTAACGTGTTTCAAGTACTTCTGGCTTTGACATATATTTATTATATCTTTGTTCGTTCAAGTGACTAAAATGCTTCTCTTTGTTACAATACCATGTACAAAAATGGTGTTTAGCATTGTTCCCTGAGTAATACCTTCAATAGTATTATTCCCTTGCAAACCCAAATAAATCTATCTGCGTAAAAAAAAAGAAAAAAAAAAGAGTGATTTGCGGCAAAACCCGCCAGTATCGCACCCAACGTCAGTGCCTATACGTAA